AATAAACACCATCACATCTTAACGTTTTATAATTGCTTCAACTCAGCTAGGCTTGGCATCTTGTATTTACATAAAAGATATTATGTATGTGAAGGTTTTGTGCGCTGACGGTAACATGTATTCCTAAAGTATGACTTAACTGCGTAAAACAACGCGGTGTCAAGGTTCAAGGTATGAGCAGTCATTAAAAAAATTGTGGATGTATTTTACATTACATAGCATCGCATACAAGCAACTTACACAATATAACTAGCATGATCTGTTTATTTTTTTATTTAGTTTAACTAAAGTTACGAACAATGCTTATAATGATGGCTTAAATATGGAAGAACCTTACATTTTCCAACAAAAAATCCAATGGTTGTAAACTCACAAGTTTTAGATTTATCTGACTCTGAAATTGTCAAGGCTTGTACATTGTGGTACGGGACAATACAATCATAGACTATAATTTGTAGACACAATGTCAATTGATCATCGACAACAACACATATTATTCTTTGATTTCCCAATGTCTTGTGTGAATGGCGTTGTTTTTGCGTCCCATCGGGCAATTAGCGAACAATCGGCGGCATTGTGCGCCCTTTGTGCGCCCGCGCAGGGAGCCCGCGCCGCGCTGGGGTGGCCATGACGGGTGGACTTCTTCGGACAATAGGCTTAGTCGGGAAATGCTTAGATAATAATAAGAATACCAATAACAATTTATGTTGATCAAATATCATACTGTTTTGATAAAATATTGCACTACTCATTCCTTTAATAGATAACTGTGAACCACGTACAGTATAGTAGAACTTAGTCGTCTCCTTCAAGAGTCTAGACAGATAATAAAATGGAAGAGTGGCCTAGATAGTAAAAAAGATGAGTTGAATTTTGAAGTTTTAACAAAACATCAACAATTTTTAAAGTTTAGCTCTAGTAAATAAGTACACCTAGCAGTTATTCGGCATATCCTGTGTTTCCACACACCATGGTCGCCCCACCCCCGCTTTCCCATCGCGGCGGTCGTTGCCCGCTGTCGATTTGTTTGTTGATCAGTCATCTCGTTACGTTCGCAAAAAAAACCAACTCGATCCAACTCCTAATTCGTTTATGCAACTGCAGGTCTGATTGATTTAACTCCATTCTTTTTAGATGCCAACACGCCAAAGAAAAGTCTTGGAATAGTTGAATAATGCTTTTTCTGTTTAATCGTTATGGGCATTTTGAAATGAGAAATTGAAATGAGAAAAATACGCAGTTTGAACTAATTGCAATGATTTGATAATAAAAAGTTCTACCTCAAGATTTAATTATTTTTTTTACTCGAAAACCAGATCAAAAACGACTTGTTTTACCGAGTTTTAATTACATCATGAAGATACAATCGATTAATAAAGTTTTTCTTTAATCTCGTTCAATTTCAAGCGATTATTAAAAGCAATTAACATGTATTTATCTAAATATAACGTTTAAAACTCAATTATTTTCAAATTGAAATGACAATTCCCCTTGATTTATGTGGATTCCTTCCGTCAGCCGCGTCAGGGCAGCCAATTACCGAGCCAATCAATGGTTGCACAACTACATGCCCGCGGGCGCCATCGCAATCGGAACTTTCTCCGCGCGGAGCCCGAGTGGACAACCATTATGAGATGGCCAGCCAAGTGTATGGATAGATTGTATTGTAGTTATATTTAATAATGTTGTTATAAAATTGTAATGTTGTAATTGAAATAAGTTTTGTAATTAATATACAGATCTCTAATATTATTATTTAAATTATAATACTTGTTAGATTTAATCTCATGTTGCAATACCCTAGCAGGGTCCATGTTTTAGGTCTATGTCTATATGTAAGAACTTTTATATACCAACATTGGAGCAATAAAGAATTTGAATTTGAATTTGAATTTGAATGTATTTTTAACTTTGAACCATGTTACACGGATACAGCAGAACTTCATCCACAGGTTTTTAAATGTTTCTAACGAATTCTCAATATGCATATCCTTCCAGGCTTCTTAGCAGTCGTGTAGGGTCTACAATTCGTATAATTCCACATGAATCCAAAATACGGTTCCATACAAATTGACATGAGTAAGTATTCAGATAGTAGTTTGATGAATGGATGTTAAATGCACGCTTTTGTTTTCTAAATTGGTGTTCAAACAAGATGTTTTACTGTTACGATTTCCTGTGATTGAACCGACGGCATAATCCGCATAATCTGCGCATGTTATCCTCTGTCTGCTTGACTTTATCACCTTTTTGTCAGCCTGCCTCTTTATGCTGTCAGTCATTTCGAACGTCATTGTCTTACAAGGTTCCGTACAGTTTTTACTATACGAGCCAAGAGTTTTTATTAAGAAGCAGTCGATTGTTGTGTTGTTAGAATTAAAGTCACATAACGTAACTTAATAGGTTATCCAGTAGGAGTTGTCAGGAGTCAGGAATGAACAGGAAGAAATTTGCATAAGGCAGGTGCGTCAGATCATTTAGATCCACTTTTATAATCTATTAACTTTATGGTTGCATTTTATATAACATGAAAAACTTGCCGGCCAACATAACAATATGCATTTAAAATTAGAAAGCATGTTCCATAATGGTTCGCATTAAAGTATAATAACTACGAATATGAGTTGCAGCCTCACATTTGAAATGCAGAGAGAGCGCGTTCGATTCGTTAATATTATAAATATTACGTTCAAAGCCCGTGTGGTAATGGCGAGTAATTTCTCGGCTGTCACTGAAGGCGAAACGATGTGGAAGTTGTTATTTTGTTGGTGAAACATACAAGGGTTTACTCTAAGTTTATCTACATTCTGCAAGATGCAATCACGGATTTATTAAAGTAGTATTTTGTTTGATGTTTCTTTATTGTACCGGTAGATATTATTAGATTTTACTTGAATATAAAAAGAACAAACAAAGGAATTAATGAAAATAATGGGGAAATACGAAACCTGAAAGTTGAATTTACTTCTTATAAGAAAGTAACAATACGTAATGGAATGGTCACGTCTCACGCTTGCCCGTGCGCACCCGTTGCTGCGCGATTGCTTTTCGATCGATGTTATTCACGCTCTATACATGCTGTGTAAAATAATTGTGTGTTATTAAAAGAAAGATTTCTATTATTATCTAGTCACATACGGTGAACGGGTATTATTCATTAATCCTTCAAGGCCCGCGAATCTAGACACAATAGATAATCAATTGTTATGGCATTAATGTATGCCGTCTGGGACTTTAAAGGTTAATACAATGCCTAGTTAATTTGTCCGGAACAATCTAAAATTATATTCGTATGCGCTGTTTTATATAATTATAGAAATATAGAAACAATTTGTGTAACATCCAAATGCCAATCGACATTATATGCTTTTAATTATTAAAGTGAGGCCAAATTCCCAAATTCCATTACCATACCATTAGATAGCAGGAATAAAACCTACCATCTAAAGATATTGATGGTAATTCGTTCATCCACACAACATCCTGTATACCTAAGTGTGATTCGCAGTTCGCTCACAGAGTTCAAATATAAAGGGTCAATGATCTTTTTGTGTTGTCTTGAGAAGCATAAGACTTACGTAACTTAATTTCTACAAAATGTATAAATACCATACACACAGCTATTCGAATCGATTAACTGTAATTTACATGCTTCAAAAGCTGGCATATAAACACTCTTATTAAGCAACTAAATAATATTAATGGTAAAAAAACTCCAATCAAGTTTTACTATTTGCGCAATTTCCTTAGGTCTAACTAAATGACTGCTTGTGACGAAATCACATCACGTATTAAAACCAAGGATACCAAAACGAGATCCCACGAATTCCGCAAATTACTGCAAATATGAGCTATCATCGAGACGCATGAGACTGCGTGCGATCGTCGCTGCAATCAGAAAACCGTCGGTCTCTTTTGCGCCAATAATACGCGTGTCCTCGTCGCACCGCGCGGCTCGTTTGATCCCCACTAATTGCACGCTTTCCCGCCGGAAACGCCGCCATCATCCCATTAATCTATGGTAGACCATAGTCTAGTAATGGTCTGACCAGAGACAAGACAAGCTCGCTCTAATGCCTCTGCCAATCAAAAGATAGGGCCATTAACTTGAGACAATATAAAATCTAAAGGCACTGGGTCTCTATCAGAAGGAACTCTAGGGGTGGAATCTCCATTGGCGTGGGTTAACGGGCAAGGAGATAATATCTTGGATGGTTGACAATCACTTTTCCTACAATTTAACGTTCCACCAAACTCAACACGCTTTCAAAGATAACCTCGTAGCCGCCTGCTCACACTTGACATGACATAACCGATTGACAGTTATCTTTTTCTGCGCATCAGTNGGCAACTAGCCTATTCCCTTACCAAAGCACGCAAGTTTACCCCGTTTTTGGTCTAGTGGTAAGACCACCTGCTTCAGACGCAGAGGTCCCGGGTTCGATTCCCAGTAGGGGCAAATTTTTCTGTTCGGTTTGTTTGGTGGTAGGGCATGTTCTAAGTCCGCCGGGCTAGCTACCACCATCTTACAACAATGTTAACAACATTGTTGTGTTCCTGCAGTTAGATGTAAGATAGCCGGTTCCTCTGTGGTTGAGGATTCCGGGTGAAACTCGCTTCCACCTTCGGCCTGATCGTCCCTTACCATCAGGTGAGATACAGGCCAAGAGCTTCCTCGTTGTGGATAAAAAAAAGGTCATAATGCAGTGACAACAGCCTAACCGTGTCTTAGCGGATTCTTCGTATAATAATTATACGAATATTACCTATTAATTTCGGTTTTGTCGGTCGTCTGCTGACGCCTAAAAAGTAGTTCACTGTAAGCTACTTTTTATGATAATTCCGAGATTTACGGGGCGAAAAAATGGTATACAAAAAACTGCAGTTTTCGGAATTTGCTGTTAATTTCGCCTTCTGTTCTGTAGGCTAGGTAGTAGGCTGCTACTGACTGAAATGAAATTATTTACTGTTATTAACGCAACATATTGTATTATTTCCAGATACAACATGCTAGTCCACAACGCAAAACACATTATAATACCCTTAATAAACCAGAAGCTCTACGAATGCACCCAATGCAAGCGCTTGTTCAACACCGTAGAATCTCTCGAATGGCACTCGATCAATAGTCACTCTTACATCTCTAGCAATAAAGATTATTTGCCCAAAATACTGCAGAGCTTCGTCAAAAGGGAACCAGTCACAATGTTGACTAAAGAACCTCTAATAGATATAAGTTTACACAGAGCAAACGGTGAAAGTCCTGATATCACAAGTAATGTACCTGAATTATTAGAAAGTTTCGTGAAGAAAGAGCCCGTGACAATGCTCACAAAACTGCCTGATCCACCGTCAAGAACTGAGAATATTCTTGAAAGCTTTGTGAAGAGAGAACCGATCATGTTGTTGAACAACGAAAGCTTTCTAAACAGCAATCTCCACAAAGATGAAGCTTACTCGGATTCAGATAGAAATATGCCATCGGACAGTGATGATGAAGGTGATGAAAATGAAGTATTAAATAGCGATGATGAAATTATTGAAATTAAAAGTAAGATAGAGTTTGAATACATCAACATTGATACCGAAAAGAAGATTAAAGACAGATTGTTGTTCGAAGATGATGATGATGATGAAGTATTTCATGATCCTAATCTATTTGTTAATGAAAAAGAAGCTTTAAATAACTGTAAAAGAAACACAATAATATTAGGGAACAAGCCAAACGTGAAATGTAATGGGGATGAAAGTGTGCATGACGAGGAATTCCATAGTGTGCATTACGATGAGCTGATCAGACCAGGAGTGTATCGTTGCAAGAAATGCACCATGATTTTCCCTAGCAAGTAAGTATTTTTCAATTTATTTCGCACACTCACTGTGGGCGCGTCGCACAGTCGCGACAGCAATATAAATACCAGCGAGCGATAAGGATGGGTAGCTTGGGGTCATTGGACAAAATTCTACGTGCTCACAGACCTGGCTTTTGTAGACTTAAGGTCATAGTAGACTTACTCCCGTATTCACAAACGATGCTTGCTTATGTGAAGCAACAAATCGAAAGCACAGCATTGAATAGAGCTCTGTGATTGGTTCGTGTGTGACCCTGTGCGTCCACGCGCACTGTGAGACCTCATAGTAATGTTTGTGTATACGGTCCAGGGATATTACGGATATCTGTAACCGTAACCGAAACTTTTGGATATCCGAAATAAAAAAATATCCGTAAAATGTAAAGGCATAAAAGCCTGATTTACCTTTATAATGCCATCTAACATCAATTTTTTTTTTGTTTAATCGCGGTTAGGGGAGGGCTCGCATTCCACGGACCAGCAAACTTAGCGCGAACGGGTAATATCTCCGATTACTTACTGGGAAGCCTCAGCACAAAAATTGTATGTAGATCGTTTCATCCACTCGGCCGCGCCCCACCAATGTTTGGTCTCGGTCGCGCGGGGTGCGGGGAGTTTGATCCGAGCAATCCGTAAGGCATTATTGTAGTGTGCGTGTGCACTCATGAATCATTTAGCGCGTACCGATAACACTCAAACATTCGCGGAAGAATCTGGCGCGTCTTCGTGGATGAAACCATCTATAAATATTGTAAACAATTTTTAATTTAATTAATTTTCATTCCAGATTCGACGCCATCATCCACGAGACAGACCATATCAGATTCAAACGCCGTGTGCCCTTCATGTGTCGAATCTGCGATTGGGCAGTAGGGAACAACATAGCAGCCCTACAGTACCACAAAAGACGGAAGCACCCCGACAAAGAATTGAAAACTCACAAGGAATTCACCAAGTGCTTCGAATGTGGTCTCCGTTACATCAGCAATATGAGACACAGGCAGAACTACCACAACGAATTCGCTTGCAGATTTTGCCGGGACGTGTTCACGTGTCAAAGTGATTTGGATAGTCATAAGTTAGAACATGTTAAAGGCGATCACGAGTTTAATTGGTCGATAAAAACAGTGAAAGTGTGTGATTTTTGCTTCGGCTGGTTTAAGGATAAAGTGAATTTGAAATATAAGCATATAAAAGACTATTTTAGGTTGGGTGAACGGTTACAGTGTGAGCGATGTGAGAAATACTGCTTTCAATTGAAGATTGTGAGGATTCGGTGGAGGAAACGAAGGAACCCCATGAGAGAACAGTTGACGTACGAGTCTAAGAAAAAGAAACCTATGAACAACTCGGATAGGTTGAAGAATGTACAACAACGGCTGAAGATGTTGAAAACATTAAATAAATTTTGATTTCGCGTTTAGTTGTTGTTTTTATTTGTCTTAACTATACTTACGAGCAAAAGTATGGAATCACCCCCTTTTGTTTTGTTCCGAGCCATCTTAAGAACTGAATTCCTATGAATCTATCTATGGTATTAATTTAAAGTATACAGGGTGTTAGGTAAATGGGTATATGAGCCGACACTAGCCCATGTTAACATGGGCATATAAATGGTATGGTGCAGTCAGAAATTTGATATCATCTTTTTATTATTATTTTTTATTTTCACACAAAATAAATTTTATAAAATCCGATTTGTATGAAAATTAAAAAAAATAAAATGAAGATATCAATTTTCTGACTTCACCATACCATTTATATGCCTATGTTAACATGGGCTAGACGTGTCGGCTCATATACCCATTTACCTAACACCCTGTATACCTAATATTACCTTTAAAATGGTACCATTTTCATTTATCTTCTAAAGCCCGGTCCGTGAGCTCGGTGCCGTACGTCAGAGTAAATATATTCTTTGCCGTACGTGCTCACAGACCGGGCTTTATTAGTCATTTAGTTCTTACGATCGTTCGTAACAAACAGGGTGATTCCATACTTTTGCTCGCGAGTGCTCCGCCCCTGCTTTCGCACAGGAATGTATTATAGTTAAAAACTTTCTTCTTGAATCACTTATCTATTGCTGAAAACCAAATTAAAATTCGTTGAGTAGTTTAAAAGAGAGGAGGCACGCGTCCCGGAGTCTCAGGTTCGATTTTTGATTCAGTTTATATTTCTTGATTCCTTGAGGATTATTCTGTATTGACAGATATTAGCTCATTGCATTGAGATGTGAACGTAGAGTTACAAAAATATAATTTTGAAAATTATTATGACGTAAAACATGTGAGCTACTGTTAAACCTCGAATGCCTTATTACCCACCGCACTACCAAACCACACTACCAGTAGTGTCGTGGGGAATATTTTTTCCCTTCTGCACTACCAAGCCAGTAGTGTCGTGGGTAACATACATCTTCATTCCCATCGACACTACTACCATAACTAAATGTAAAATTTGTAAAATTTTGGACTGTTTTGTAATAAATTATGTTTATATGCAACCTTAAGCTCTGTGCAAATTTGCAGTTTGACGGAATTTACTGTAAATAAAATTTAACCTAAAAAGGCTTAACTTTGCGTGAAAGAAAAACAAAAATTAAATTATTTTTACCCGACTACGGCAAAGCAAAAGGAGGGTTATGATTTTGACAGGCTATGTGTGTATGTTCATCTGTTCCCTCGTAACTTCTAAACTACTTATCAGAATTCGACAAATGACATATCATTAGAAGCGTCTTAATTGTCCGCTGGTTATAGGCTATAATATGGGGTTTCACAAAATCTAATGTGGCGCCCTCTAGCGGACAAACCATACAGAGTAAAAAATAAAGTTAAGATAAATATGCCGTTTGGTATCATTTGAAAGCGCTTTACTTGTACATTTTGAANTACCTCAAACCGCACCACTACTACTGCTGATCCAGGCATGCAGCCATGCGACCAGGAAACCAGGGTTTAGGTAACATGGCCCGACGCGCAAGGCTTAAGCCAAGGCTCCTTCAACCATTTACCTCAAACCGCACCACTACTACTGCTGATCCAGGCATGCAGCCATGCGACCAGGAAACCAACATTACATCAGCGTGGCCCGGGCGTAAACAGCCCCTTCAACCACGGCAACAGGGTGGCCCGGGCGCCCTTGGCCCGGCCCCCTCAACTCACTCACTCACAAAGGCCCTTCCAGTTTACGTCAATCACAATAATTTCCGTCAACCTGCACCAACTCTCAACGTCTGAGTCAGCATCCTCCATGTAAAACTTGATGAGTTGCGTAGCGTAGGTGTGCATGCTGAAAGATTTATCTCCTTTGAATAGTGCCCTTCGAATCCCACTTCTGATAAAGGCACTGGGTCTCTATCAGAAGGAACTCTAGGGGTGGAATCTCCATTGGCGTGGGTTAACGGGCAAGGAGATAATATCTTGGATGGTTGACAATCACTTTTCCTACAATTTAACGTTCCACCAAACTCAACACGCTTTCAAAGATAACCTCGTAGCCGCCTGCTCACACTTGACATGACATAACCGATTGACAGTTATCTTTTTCTGCGCATCAGTCGGGTGTTATAGTTCCAAAATACTGGACTGTCCTATCGATGACATTGACAGTGGGGCGCCACCGTCAATACCGGATCGCTGGTTCCGATTTTTGCCATGTTGGAAAGCATATAGTTGAACGATGGTAGCGCCCCCCTGTCATTGAGTTTGGCGGGACAGTTCAGCGTGGGTCATCTATACGTTTAGGAATCACAAACCTTCTGCTCTACAGATTTATACAGATAACATAATATTAAGATTGGTACTATTAATCATCAATAATAATTGCAGCATCTGTGTCCGGCGCCGACAAATCTAATTTATGAATAAAAGCTCTAAGGTATATTTTGGTTCTTCTCAAATTCTGTACGGCAAAATATCAACTTTTCATAAAGAAAAATACCACGCAATTTCATTTAAATTGAATTTAGTAAAAACGACATAAAATCAGAGGAAACCATTTGTTTAGATTACGTTATTGCGAGTGAGCACAGGTATGTACCAACCACGTTTCATATTTACGAGACTACTAAATTTTGCCAGGTATTGATTTCAATTCAGTAGTTAAACATTACTAGTTATGTACTGAAACATCGCCTGCTCCAGTTCTTAGAATAGACAAGTGCACACGTCCAGTGGCGGACGCGTGCGCGGGCGCAGGCGGGCGCGGGAAATCGCCTTAATTGCGCGTCTGCCCGACAATGACACGCTACACGCTACATTTCAATTGTGCGCTGCTTTACTAACAACATGACAATGACAGTTAAACACCGGTGGTTCATTTTAACCCTACAATCAGGCGAATTGGTTCCTATTACATCTCATGCAGACTTTGACAGCATTTTTAATCCAAAACATAACATCAAATACAAATACATATGTACGACATAGTTATTATCAATATAATATGGAAGGAATTTATGATATTTGCTACATCAATAGGCACATTCTTCTGATTTGAATAAATTACAATGCCGCTTTTATTTCTATCAAACATGTGAAATCCAAACCATGACACCTTACTTACTAGGACGGATAAAATTAACATACTCGAGAATAAAACAGTGAAAACAACACCTAAATAACTCTACTGCTAAATATTTATAACCGAACGGCAACAAAGCATAATAGAGATCCGCCAAGTCGGGTAAGCCTCGTGCCCTACAAAGCGGAAGTGGTGCGAGAGAAACCATGTGACGGACACCGGCTGATTCCGCAAAACATTGCTGATTATGAATGGACAATTATGATTATAATGAAGAAAGTTTTGTTTGTCTCTTGATTTTCAGTGAAACACATGGGAGTGTGTGCCGCAGATTGCGAGATGAAATTAAATCGGCCTTAACAAAGCTCCCTAACTAAACTTTCTTAAAATCATTGTTAGTGCGCGAATTTGAATAATATGCAAATGCATGCATTTTGAGGACACCTTTTTAAATTATGTACTCGTATGTATATTATCAAACAAGGTGCTAATTGCGCTTTATTTACAAAACAAATGGCAGTCATAAGTCAAGCGCTGGCGCGGCCAGAGGCGCACCTGCGGCGCGGGCGCAGGAATCCGGGCCAAGGATGGGGCAACGACCCGCGCCTGATTCGGAGCCCGATCCTGCGACCTACCGCCGCAGTCATCGACAACTTTCGATTGATTTAGTGTCGAGCGGTTGGACACGTTTACAGATATTACAAGTCAAAGGTTTGACTAACATTAAAATCAACGACGTAAAATAAAAACATGTCTATTATTTATCGGTAATTGTATAAATATTAATCATTATAATGAGTTTGCAAACATCCATGTTTGAAGTTGAAACAGTTTTTCAGTTTTCTAATTGGATAAGGCTAAACTTAAATGGAAATTTAATCATTATAATATCATAGAATAATCATGAGTGAAACACTACACTGTATGAAAGGGAAAATAACAAAATAAGTAGAGTAGGAGCATATAGGTACATTATTTAATTTGATTTGAAGAACGAAAACTGAATAGATTTTATGTAGTTCGATTTCTATCAATCAATTCATAAAAACTGAATGGGTAAATAAAAACTACAAAAACAATTGTTTATTCTGACTTCGTGCGACTCAAGATAGGACCCTCTATTCATCCAAGTCAGAAGCGCGCGAGCACTGGTTAGGAATATGCCAATAGTTCGATAGGTCAGTAACTGGCCAGTGACAAAAACCTTCGCTTTGGCTAACAATAATAACTTACAGGTATTATTGTAGCGACACGATTCCGCAAAACCAGTAGAGATAAGTTTTTGTGACCTCAATCCGGCATTGACAACAAAATTTGACCGAATTTTTCGTGTAGGTATAATAGAATGAGAAATCTAATGTTTTTCTGAATCTGCTAAGAATTCTAACTGTGTATCAAGTAGGCATCCACTAATCATTATTATGTAAATAGCACGGGCATTGTAGCCAATTTTTTAAACTAATAGAAAGCCTAACGAAGTGAAAATATGTATGTATTCCAAAAGACATTCAGTTACCAACATAATTATTGCAAAATTGACGACTATATTGATACAATCAGTGAAAATTACGGGCCATACATCATTGTCAAGATAAAGAAATAATTAAAAGATAGAGAGAAAATAAATTTACTAACCACGTTTAGCCAGGTAAGTTTATTTTGTGTTTTTAATAGGTATATTTAGGAACTTTCAATAAGGATATACGTTATCGCATGTAATAAATCCAATTACCCATGTGATCAAACTAGAGTATTAATTGTTATGTGCTTACTCGAAGCATCTGCCATCGGTCGTTGAGCTCTCAGCTCAGAGAAACTGTGATTGTGATCTGAGCTATAAATGCTCCGCTTTTATTGTCAACAGTAAATCATAATGATGTTTGGATTATGTGCTGTGTG